TATTGACACAAATTTCAAATGATTTTCAACGGTCGCTTTGTGGCATCCAGTGTACTAGACAGACTTTAGCTGTTGCAGCGCAGACACGGTGTTACTCACCTATCGAGAAGAAACAAAGCAACCTCGGCGTCCGATCGCAGGCCTTCCGCTCTGTGATTTCTCTCCAGTGCTGGAAAGCTGATCCGATAATTTACACAGATCCAACATCTTGCCTTATTGCCTTAAGCCTTCTTTTGTTCTGCAGACGTTTCCCTCTTTTGTTTTTTTATCCGCCATCTCTATCTTTCTGTCGCTCGGCTCGCTAATGTCCGTCCTGTGCACTGAACGCTCTCGCCTCCACATCATGAGTAGACACGCCCCTTACTGCTGATTGGCTACAAGTTTGTTTTGCTAATCGGCCCGAATCAGTTTTCTAAAGCGTTTTTGAAAAAATCGCTTACCCCACCTTTAAGCATCTGGCTTATTGCTATATATTAGGGATGTAACGATTAACTGCCAGTCGGTTGAAAATTGATTCAAATGTGATGATTCAAATTGGTTGAGATGCTAAACCAATCGCGATTCATTTAGGGGTAGGAGTTTATATGAATGCATGTCTGAGGGGAACTTACTGTCTTTAGAAAAGTTTAGATGGTATTTTTTTATTAATCTTGCCTCTGTATAATGCATATTAAAGTTCATAAGTGCAGCACTCCTTTGTTTACAGCAGAAACCAAGGAAAGGGTTTAAGCGCCACCTGCGTCTCATTCAGCTCGTCTGCTGTTTCATGCAGATATTTTTATGTATAGTTTCACAAAACTGAAGTCAAACCATTCTGTTTTTGCGTCAAATTTCGAAATTATACAATGTAATTTAGTTTAAAAACTGCTCATGTTTCATGTATGCAGCATCTTTGTTATGCAGTGGTCGCCTCTAATTTTAAATGGAAAGAGCACAGACAAAGCCTTAGTTTGTTTATATGAAGAGATTTATTTTATTTGTATTACTTATTTGATTTGGGGCTTGTTTTAAAATTTCAATTTAGTTTTGTTATTTACATTTGCATTATATTAAAATTGTCATTTAGCAGACAATTTTATCCAAAGCGATTTACAAATGAGGACAATAGAAGCAATCAAAACCAACAAAAAAGCAATAATATGCAAGTGCTATATTAGTATATTATTATAGTGTCATATTTCAATTTCACAAAGAAATGTGCAGCATTTTGTCCAAGCAATAATAAAAGGACATGCACATTTAATTTATAATTTGTCTTAAATCTCATTTTGTAAAAAATAAAATAAAATCGTGAATCGAATCGAATCGTGAAATCAAAATCTTGAATCGAATCTTGAGTTGAGTGAATCGTTACATCCCTACTATATATACACTACTGTTCAAAAGTTTGGGGTAAGTTCGTTTTCTTATGTTTTGTTTTTGAGAGAAGTCTCTTATTCTCACCAAGGCTGCATTTATTTGATCAAAACTACAAACAGTAATACCATTTAGCAGAACGGTTTGCAAGCAAAACAGATCCAGCAATACTGATGTGATGAGGTCACAGGTGTATTGTAGAGTATTTTTCAATGGAATGGAAAGTTTTAAAAAAGCAGCATTTATTTAAAATAAAAATCTTTTGTAACATTATAAATGTTTTTACTGTCACTTTTGATCAATTTGATGCATCCTTGCTGAATAAATGTATTTTAAAAAACTGCTGATCCAAACAGTAGTGTGTAATGGTTCAAGATTAATCTGAAAATAACCTTGATATCAAAAAGAAAAATCATCAGGTGTCCATCTGAATGAGACATGACAATGTGACAAGGAAGTGATATCTTACAGTTGTTGGAGTTGCTGGAGATCCAGTGCTGGTAGCCCAGGAATTATTTGGCTCAGTATCCCAGATGGACGGGGACATTGGAGTGTAGTCAGGCCAAATCTGCTGGGGCTCTGAACTCTTGGGAACAGTCATGCCTCTGAAAACTAATACAGACAATAACCACAATATTGGATACATTGATTGCAATTTTATTTAAACATTTTGCGTTTTATTTAAACATTTTGCATACCTCCAGAAAGATTAAGTGGGTTGTTGGGTCCAAAAGCAGAGAAAGCATTTACCGGTCCAAAACTGGGGCTGCTGGTGGTGTCTATTGGGCTCCACAGTCCAGAGCTAAAAGATTAGAAATCTTTTTAGAAATCTTTTCCACAATTATAAATATACTTGTAAAACAGATGAGAAAGAAGGTTAAGTGATGTTTCATTATGAAGCCACTGCACCTGTCAGATCCATCACTCTCCACTGATGTTATTTGAGATAGTGTCACCTTCCCTAGACTGTCAGCTTTACTAGCTGAGCCACTTCCACCTGTAAAAACAACAGCACACCACTTGTATAACATTTAAATGCAAATCTGTGGCAAGGGGCACTTTAAATCAGTGTTAAAATAATAATAATAATCAGTCATTTCCTCAAATTTCCTGTTCATGCACCACTACAAGTTGATCCATGTTCATCATCTTTATATTTAACATGCAAACTCACCAGGGCTTTTGTCATAGCCAGCAGCTACAGCTGCGAAAGTTGGATTTCCATTTTGACCAGGCAGAGAGGCCGACTTGGTGAGCTTATTCCCTGGAGCCTTCTTCAAATTAGCCTCGCTATAACATTATACAAGAAAAACAATGTCACTCATGTACTTTACAACTGGATAACCAGGAAATGCCTTGATGCCAATAACCCAAATGCAGGTTCTAAAACTAACATTTAGCCACACTGTCCAATAACCAGTGACTTAAGAAAATTTACTGGCCAAAAATACTTTTTAACGGTATGTGCATTATTTCATTAAAAAAAATACATTGGGGAAACACACTTAATTGCAATTATTATCAATAAAAAAAATATATATTATTATTATTAATAAAAATACTATTTTATTTATTATAATTAATAAATTAAGAAATACACAAAACGATCACTATAATACTACTGAATTTTAAAAGTACTTTGTGATAATAATAATAATTATTATTTTACATAACAGTACAATGCTAACATTTATTGTTGTTTTTCCTTGAATTTCAGATGTTAAACCTTTGCTTTTTCTTTGGCAAAAAACAACAGGGAAACATCTTTTGAAATGCCTTTCTTTTGAGAGATTTATAAACACTTCCCATTTCAATTTTGGGAAGATGCTTGGCGCATGTTGCATTTTCAAATGCATGTTATAAGCGACTCAGCACATGCAGACTGTTTGTGTGGAGCAGCATTTACTTCAAAGCAGCATTACTCACATGAAAAAAATCACACTTCAAAGGGGTCATATGACGTTGCTAAAACTAACATTATTTTGTGTATTTGGTGAAATGCAATGCGTTTATGCGGTTTATGGTTAAAAAAAACATTATTTTCCACATACTGTACATTATTGTTTCTCCTCTATGCCCCGACTTTCTGAAACGCATCGATTTTTTACAAAGCTCATCGTTCTGAAAAGCGAAGTGTATGCTGATTGGCCAGCTATCCAGTGCATTGTGATTGGCCGAATACCTCAAGTAAGTGACGGAAATGTTACGCCCCTTACCATACTGTGATGCCGTGTCCCGGCGTGACGAGACAAACCCATTACAAACGAGGCATTTGTTGCATCCAGTGGGGACATAATTACGGACGAGTCTAGATGGTTTAGCCAATCACAACACACTGAGCTAGCTAACCAACCAGAGCCCATCGCCTATTTCTGAGGGCGGGGTGTCATAAAACAGGAAAAGATCAGCGAGTTTCTCAGAGAAGGGACAGAGCTGTGTGGAATTTAGGTAAATTATGTGAAAAATTTTGCGTTTATTTATTTTTTTTAAACGAAGCATTAACATGTTAGACTGCACCCCATAAACACAAATCAAGCCTAGAAAAAACCCAGTGAACCACCCATTTAAAACACGCAGCGCATCAGATTACATATTTACTGTATTGGCCCGAATATAAGATGACCCTGATTATAAAACGACCCCCCTTTTTCCAGATGTACCTTTTGGAAAAAGGCTTTTTAAAAACCAAATCTTGATTTTTCTCAGTAAAACTCATTTTGTCTTCAATTATTTTCATATTGCATATTTTTCCTATTTTAATTTTTGTTTTGAAAGTATGGTAAAAACTGGTAAAATGTACCAGCAATCACATTTAAAAAATATACACTTTTTGATATACCATTAAAAACAAAAAAAACAGGTAGCCCATCTGAATTAGGACATTTAGGCTATCCATCTAATAGTAGCCTACCAAAATCTTATTAACAGTATAAGTTAAATCTTACTGTAGTCTTCAAATCTGGGTACTGTCTTACGTTTTAAAATCACAAAGGGAGTTTAGTCCCATCAGGCTAACGTGACAGTCACGACTCATGCAGCTGTAAGGTTTTCTTATTCTTTTGTTTTTACTCGTGATCTTTACAACACGCATTTCATGGCACACTTGTTTTATGCGTATTTGGCGCCACCTATTGTTGTGGGTGTATTACTGACATGTCAAAGTCTAGACCTTGAATATAAGACAACCGTGTTTTTTCAGATGTATTTCCAAGAAAAAAAACATCGTCTTATATTCGGGTCAATACGGTAAATAATTACAACAGTCTTTGGGATTTTATTTTTGTGCTAAACAATGTTGTGTATGGAACGATATTCCGGACAATTTTCAAAAGGAATAGCAAATTGTATTTTCAATTGCGTTTTCCATATGTGGACGCATAAATTGTGACATAATCCAAATGCAATTGCAAATCCTGCATTACCGTTTGCATTTTCGCTTTCGCGAACGCACAGCGACGGCCAAATTTCAAGTGAAAAAGCAAAGTCCATTTGCAGCTGTATTTCCCGTGTCTTAGGAGTTACGAGCCTGTCATATTTAAATAGCAATATTAATTACCAGTCTGCTTTTTCACTCTCGCTGCGTCGCGCATGTAACCTGCCAAAACTCAAATGGAAACGCAATTCCTTTTGCATTTGAATTTCCAATGTCTACACGGAAAGCTGTCAATCAATGTGAGGGGGCGGAGCTATACTAGGGGACGTGTTTGTATTGGGAGGTGACGTCACTCACAGACGACCGTGCCGAATGCTCTGATCAGTGGAGGTAATCGGTAAAGGCTCCGCTAAAGGCAGCTACCAATCAGTTTTATACCGGATTCAAAGTGTGAGTGAGTGTAAACAGTGAGAGATGCTGAGACAGGGGAAAGCGTTTGGTTAATAGTGAATATTGACCTATTGTGCGTACCGTTGTGGCTCCCGCTGTTAGCAGGGGATAATCACTATATTTGGGGTAAAAAAGACAGAATTATGTATTGTGCCAAGAAGGTTGCACTGTCTGTTCGTTCACACAGGTACGAAACTGATTGGTAGCTGCCTTTAGC